TGTTTTTTTAGCATATCTTGCGTTTTATAGAATTTAGCATAATGTATTATTATGTTACGTTTTTAATGTTTAATTATCCTATGCTTATTTTTCATATACATATTTTATAATAAGAGTTTTTATTTTATTTTATTTTTCTTTATACATTTATATATATATTTTATTTGTTATTTTATTTTATTTGTATTTAAATTTTTGTTCTATTTTGTTTATATTCGAATATCTTAGCCTGATGATGGCCAACAGATTTGGCTGAAAACGTTTGTTTTTCATTAAATTTTTCTCAGCAAATTAAGATGTTGTGTTTTTGATTTACATACAAATGCTGGGCGAGTGTACAGTACCTCAATTAGAAAGACTCAATGCTCGTTTTTCAATGACATAGATTAGAGCTGTTAGAGTAGATCCTGAAATAACAGGATAATCTTCCCCCAAATCGAATCCAACCTGGAGTCTCTTCTTTTGGGTCTCCAAAAGAAGAGACTCCAGGTTGTCACCCACTGTTCCAGGTGGGCTAGTGCCCTCTGCACTCGTGAGGCTGCCTGTGCATGCCTGGTACTGGATATTACGAGGTACAAATCGTCGGCGTAGAGGAAGGTCGTTGCATCTGTCGGGAGAACCTCACAAAGATCCGCCATATAACACGTGAAAAGAAACGGGGCCAGGATGCTTCCCTGGAGGACCCCTTGTAGAAATTGATAGGGATGGATATCGTGCCCCTCCAATGAACACGGAAGGTGCGATTTAGGAGGAGAGTTCAACAAACGAAGTGTTTGACCTCCAAAGTCTAAGGCAGACAATTTTTCCAGGAGCCCGGCTTGGCCTGCTATGTCTAGGGCAATTACATATGTCCAGTAACGCTTCGTCCATTCAATAGCTATGTGGTGATGCATGGAAATGAGTTGCGCCTGTTGAGTTGGAGCGGTCAATAGGTCTGGTGTCTGAAGAATCAGATGGGAATCAGTGGGAGTAGTCGGGTTCCATAAACGTCAGAAGATTCTATAAAATGTTGCCCGGAAGGGGGAGGAACAGAGGTGTCCCATCACTCTCGGCGGGACTGGCGGACTGCATGGCAGAGCTAAGCGCCAAGTTTCTTGTATGTATCCCACTATTGTAGGGACGCCAGCTGATGCGCTTTTTGGAACGCGCGCCATTTTTTCGCGCGGAGGCGACGACAGTGTGGGATCCACCAAGGTGGAAATGCCTTTGAGCCCGAAAGACGGGTATTCGTCTGGTTGTATTCTGCCGTTCGGATCTGGGTAATGAAGTCCTGGTACGTCCGGGGGATGTTCTACCGGAGAGTCCAGTCCTGCCAGTCTTGTCGAGTGGAGTCGCCAATCGGTGTTGCGAATGTGTCTGGGTGGAAGTGGCGAGCTGGGTGTGCCCGGGAGTAACACAGTCATGAGTATGGGAGCGTGGTCGCTCGTTAGGGTGTCATTCTTCGGGACCCAGGATGCTGACCCCAACAAGTCCGGGGTACAGAACGTGTTGTCAATTGCGGTCGACCCGCCCTGCCGAAAAGTTGGTTCGCCGGAGTTCCAGCAACAGAAGTATGCCGATAGTTACCATTGAAAGAGGGTGCGACCCGCTGTGTCCGGGAGCACGCGTCCGTTGTCACAGTACGGTTGTTGTCACAGCAACCATTCGGGACATTCCAATTTTCAACGCTGACTCAGCGCTGATCTCAACATTCGTCAAAATTCGTTCCTTTTTTCAACGTTGAGGTAGCGCTGACTCAACACACTCAGCACTCAACAGATATGTTGACTGCTACTTTCCAATGAATTGTGGGTAATTGGTAAGACATTTGAATGGAATCCATTTTGCTGAGAATAGAATTATGGGAACTAAGCACTTTGTACTCGAGTTGGAACGTCGTTGATGACGTCAATTTGTTGACTTAAACACTCAACACTCAACACTTGAAAATTGAAATGTCCCGAATGTCCTCGATTCGTAGCCATCTCGTTTACATTTCACTAGCGCCACCACAAAATGCGGTGGCAGATATAAATAAGGATAGACGATATTTTAAAATTTTTAAAAAAAAAACGAGAATCATTAGCCATATTTTGCGTTCAGATGGGCACAACTCTCGATTCGGGGGAGGGGAGTTTTCATCTCCCCAACAGGTAGACCCCCTTTGCGATCAAAAATACCTAATGAACCACACCCCTACGGGCGACCCAGTGGCGTACCGTGGGTGTCAGCCGCCCGGGACGGAGCAAAATTTTGTCCCCCCTTATTTAGATATTTCAATTTAAAAGACCAAAATTCAGTTTTGTCACAGAACAAGCAATGAAAAATTCGGTGGTAGTGCAGCGACCTGTTTAAAATAGTGGTGTATATTGGATATTAGTGGTGTATATGAACGCGAATGAATCGTACAAGCAAAAAAAAAAAGGTCAATAGGTTTCGCAGGATTTCCTCAAATAAGAAAATTACTAGTTCACCCGGACTGCGAGCCGATTCCCGGACTGTCCGGACGATAGCACTATCGTAGGCGCGATGCAAGTATAGATTTGGATGCTTCAAATTTTTACAAGATATTATTATTATTTATTGTAAAATTTATCCGCCCCCTAACAGGTAATTTTGCCGCCCCCTAAAAAGTGCCGCCCGGGGTAGGCCCTGCCATCCCCACTAAGGTACGCCACTGGAGCGACACTTCACGAGATATAGCACCCCCCCGAAATCGGGCCTTGCGAGATCGCATCGCTCTGATAACTCGCGTAGCATACGCAACTATACGTACGTCATTTCTGGCCACGTGACTCCGCTTTCGTAGCGTGTGGTTCATTAGGCATTTTTTGATCGCCAAGGGGGGTCTACCGGTTGGGAAGGTAAAAACCCCCTCCCCGAATCTACAGTTGTACCGGGTCTATAATTTGGGGGTTCTCGCCCCCTCCTTACCAATTATTCTTCGAAACAAAAGCGAGGTAAACGAGCGAGGATCTACCGGTTGGGGTTCCCCTCTCAAACATATAGATTCTTACCTTAAGATGCGTGTTACTTAAATAAATACTGTACACTATTATTTTTTCAATTAGTTATGAATAGCATCAATTAGATTAATTAGAACAAAACTGGGGATTTTGGGCGATTTTATAAATACATTGGGCGATTGTTGAAGCGAAAAGATGGCAACACGTTCTCGTTTTAAGAAAATGTGGTGTGTTTAAATGAAAACAATTAAGGACTAACAAAATTTAGATTAAATATAATAGTTATAAAAATACAGTATATATTTATCAAATTTACTAAAAGATTCGTTTACTAAAATTTTAAATCAACGCAGGAAAAAGTTAAGCGATTTTAGAAAGCAAATTGTCAAGATATTAGTAAAGTTTATTATATAAATAAAGGTAAATAGTAATTATAGATATATAAATATAGTTTAAATAAAATTGGATAAACCAAAGTCTATATAAAATTTAAACTGAACCAAGAGATCAGTAAGCTAACAAACATTTGGGTAGAAGTTACTTTTATATAATTTGTGTGTGTACATATAAATTTCTAAGTGTAATACACTTATATTATATACAAACACCATTGGGAGGAGAGAGAGCTGGGAACTTTTCCTGGGCCCAGAAAACAATTAAGAGCCGTAGTGGTTCCTACCCCAATAAGATAATTTTTACCAACAGAAAGTAAAATCTTTAATATTGCATTTTCAATTAATAAAATAGACATTTTGTGTATTTTATTTGTTCAAAAAAAAAAAAAAAAAGGTTAAAGGGACTCGCTTTACTTTGGTCTCTTATATTGTGAAGTATGTGTCAGAAATTTGTCCCCCTGATTTTGAACCATTTTACAAAAAAGCCCATATAAAAGAATTCAGTTTATGTTATATTGGCCTGATTTTTTCAATGGTAACTTCTCTTCGTGGGAGGTTTTCATTGATAATGTTTTTTGTTTCTGTAACTTCACTCATTCATCAGAAGAAAAGTGACGCGTGACCATATGGCACAAACTTGACAATATCAGCTCTGGATGACCTGTATACAAATTGTCTAAAAGTAACTTCTACCAACATTTGAAAATTTGCTAATATTTCTTAATTTTTCTCATAGTTACTAGTAGAAAGAAATAATTAAAATTTATGGAGGGAGATCTTTTATTTAATTTTTTTTAAAGAAAATAAAAATTTATTATAAGGAGTTATTTTTTCATCTGTCAAAAATTGTTTTCAATAAATATGTATATAATTCTTTGTATATACTGTATATTGTTATTAAAGTTTAATGAATTATATTGATATAAATGTGAAGTGGTCAGCTATTGATTAAAAAAAAAAAAAAAAAAAAGAGTTGCCATTGATTGACCAAAACATTATTTTTTGAAGATTTAAATTTTTTAATCATGATGTTTTATAATTATAAAATCTATTTAACATGTTTTGAGTATTTTTATAAAAGGAAATTTATTCAGTAATGAGCTTCTATTAGATTATAACTGAAGATTGATTAATAAAATGTGAATTTAAAAAAGTTGTTTAATTTTATAAAAGTATCAATGTTATTTATATATGTTTACTTTCTTAGTCAAAAATTAAAGTGAAATAATAAAAGTTTCTGAGAGAGTTTTAACTGTATAATCCTTTAACATCAGGTGTAGTATTTCAAACAGCCAAACTAATATCCGTTGGTTTAACAACATACAATTTATTAATCAATTTTCTATATATGTATTTTGGGTTGATATAAAAGCTCAATCCTTCTTTAGTGAATTTGTTTGTGTACTTTTGTAAAGAACAACTATAGGTGGAAATTTGGGTAAAAGTACATATCCAGTGTTTATAATTTTATATATTTCTTAATCCTGTGAGGATTGTTAGACAGTACATCTTATAAAATTTAATATTTTCCTTTATCTTGGCTTGCTTATATTATATTTAAACAAGACAGGTGCCTACTTATTAACATTTAAAATATTCACACTAAAAGTAAAAAAACTAAAAACCATAAAGTACCAATTTCCATAAAACCATAACTCTCACTTGACTAATAAAAGTTTCTCTTTAGTCCTCTAAAGAACTGAAATTTTTGTTTTAAAGAATACAACCTGACTTCAGAAGTAAATAAAAAAATTGAAAATTAGAGAAACAGCAAGTGTACATAATTGAGTCATTATCAATACAGTAATTGACAAGTTGAAAACTCTGATATAAGAAGTTTATTTTTCTTTTCTTAACATAATTTTCCCGAAATTTCTTATATAATATATTCCAGTATACATCAAATAGTGCACTGGTGAACTATGATGCATTAAAATGTGTTCCAGTATTCTTTAATGAATGTCACTGCTGCAATCAATATGCATCTTCCTCATTGGATATGATAAGCTCTGATTGATTAATTTGTCTACGGGTAGATGACTACCTCTAGACAAATTAATTAGTTTTTAATTATTTACTTAGTTTGATAATTTGGAAGATTTTTTGGTTTGAATTAGTTTTATGTACATTATTCCTTTAGTTTTATTCTTCAAATCAAAAATCCACAGATTCAATTCCTTCTTATTTCTAATAGTAATTATCCATCTCTGTGTATCTTTTTTGCTATTTTGAGTTCTTCTTTCATGTCTATGAGATATTTTTCTTCATTTATCAGTAATAATTTTGCATCATTTTTTTTATATCAATTTCTTTCCATAAAGCAAATTCTGTTAGTGTTGTCATTACATCCCTTTGTGATATATTTATTAATTTTTTTTATGAGTTTCTGTTAAAATAAGCTTTAACTTACATTTTAATTAGTTAAATAATATTTTTAAGAAGAGGGATATATTCATAAATTTTAAAAATTGTTTATACATTGGATTTACTTGTATGCAAGGTGCATCATAATTTTTATATAGATTTTTTTTTTTTTTTTTTTGAAAAATAGACATTTTGAAACAAATTTATGTAAACAGAATAGATTTTCATGATATAAATTTGTACAGTATTTTTTGCAAGTTTATATATCATGTGTCTATAATTCATGGTATCAGAGTCAAAAACTTTCTGTGTTAGATTGTTTTTCAATCAAACTAAATTCAATACTTACATATTTTCCCATGCAGTCATTCTCAGTGCCATTAAAAACATTGGAAATACAACATTTTTTGAAAAAGTGCTACACAACTTTTTCTGGGATTTTCATACAACTACTTATGATGATAGTGTAATAGACGAATGAGAGTGAGCTAAGTTGATCTCTTAGATATTTTCTATTACAAATATTGTTTATTAAAATCATAAAGAATGGAATTAGTGACAGAGAAATAAGATACATAGAATTAAAGGTCATGACATTGAACTTAAGACGTACCCTATTTTCAGAAATACTAGAACCTGAAAAATGTGCCTCTTACATTTGAAAAAAATAATATTGTGTGTGTGTGTGTGTGTGTGTGTATTCAAAAATAGTAAATAAAAAGTGACAAATAAAATTTTGTTCTATATGCTTGAAAAGATTAAATTCTTTTTATAATCAATTTTGTAAATGAATTTTTAAATGTTTCTTCTTTTAGATACTAAAATGTCTGATGATGAAGAAATAACATATGTAAAAAAACAAAAAATTGTTCACTATGGAAGCTTGGAAGAACAGGAACATCAACGTTTAGCTGAGCAGGAAAAAAAACAAACTGAAGATGATGCTGAAGGAACTAGAAGTGATGATGATACTAGTGACAATATTAAGGTGGCTATTGCTGCAGGGAACATTAACATGTCTGATGGTAAGTATTTTACACATATATAGAAGTATATGGGGCATTTCATATATTATTTACACCCATGTTGCAAAATTCACATGTTTTTTCAATGATTCTCTATTGAAAAAAAAATCAATATGAGTTTTGACAGTTCATTGGATATTTTTCATTATATAATTTATAATTTTTGATATTGTTGAAAACATGTTTTTAAGTGATCCACAACTAAACAATGTTGTAAAAATCTTTCATTTACACCATTCTTTAATTATGTTAAAATATCTTTCTTTAATATGATTTTTTTCTCTACTATTCAAATATCAACATAAAAATTTAAAATATTTTTATTATAACTGCAAAATTTGGATTTTTGACAAAAATTCAATGTTCTTCAAATTACACTTGATTCATTTTTTAAATATTTTAATAGTATAAAATACAAATATATACAATATTATTCTGTTTTGTTTCATAACAAAACAGATTAATATTGTATATAGAGAAAGATTATTAGTTCATAAAATATAAGTAAAATAGTGTCACCTCCACAAATGTCTTAATACTATTGTCTGAATATTGTATTATATGATTTCATTTTTAAATTATGAAATCTCAAGTTATAGTGATCATCGGTTAGTTTAAGAATATTTTATTAACAATATTTCCATTATATAAATTTTATTAGTAGAAATATGATTAAGTGCAAATTACAATACTATCATCTGCAGTTGTACAGATGGCACTATTTTGCTTATTATAATGTCAAAATAAGAATACAGTAGAGCGTCAATTATCCGAAACATCAATTATTTGAAAGAATTCCAGTCGGCAAATTTAAATTTTTGCCAGTGCTGTGGTGCTGCAATCTTTGGCTATGTCTTGGGCTACTCAAATATTTTACGTTTTTGATACTAAATTAACTTCTGAAGTATAATTTTTATTGTTTTTATATTTTTAAATATATTTATTTTGTTTGTAAAAAATAAAAAAATAATTTTTAACGATACAATAGTCTTTGTTAGGCTTAACATCGACGAAAATTTAACGCAAAGCAACACGCAACAGAGAAAAATTTCAACATGGGATAAATTAATATATTTTTTTGTACATAATTGGTTATCCGAAATATCGATTTTCCGAACAACCTCAGTCCCCAATTGATTCGGATAATCGATGTTCTACTGTATATCAAAAATATATATATATATTTCTAGTATATAAATAAAAAACAAAAAAGAGATATTGGAATCATTATTGATATTAGCCAATAACAAAAAAATTATTATAAGTTAAAAATAACTACAAAAATATTATTATAAGTTAAAAATAACTTTAAAAAAATTAAATTTTAAACATGAAAATCAATGATAATGAAATTTTTATTACAGATTGATAATTTAAATGAAAAAAATATTAAAAAATTCCTTGATAATTCTAAGTGTTTCTGGCTTTCACATTTTACATTTCTAATAAAAAATAAAACATCTTAATGTTGTGTGAAGAAAAAAGTGGAAGATTCTTATGTTCAAGCAGTTGATAACTAGTCATACAGATTTCATATCTGTTTATATATCATAATTATTCTGGCAATAGAGTAAATTATGACTGTAAGAATGATATATGATATATTTATTTATTTAGAGTATATGGAACTTGAAGAAGAATTAAGCAAAGACAAACAGTTATTACTAGAAGAGTTTGAAAAACGAAAAAAGGTTAGTATATTGTATAAATTATATTTTATAAATATATGTTTGTTAAAATTTGAAATTTAACTTAAAAACACAGTAAAATAGAACTTAAATTATGTATTTATTAGTTTTTAGCTTACTAATGACAGAAGTGTTAGTTATATGTAGAAATCAAGGTAAATTATTATCAATCTTTATTAGTATAAAGGGTGGGAGTCCTGTTACTCAGGCTAAGTAATTACAATTATTAAAAAAGAAAATATATATTTTACAAACAGAAAATCAAAAATTTACATCAATAATTATTTTCTTACAAGTTCTTATATTTTATCTATTATTATGTAGTTTCATCTTTCACAATTTTAATTACATAGTTATACAAGCTATACAACTCCTCCTTTGAGAGTTTATTCAAGTTTTGTCTAAAGTCTTGATTTGAACTTTGCTGTATTATGTAAGATATTCCAAAATAACTTTTGTATTTCAGTAAACTTCTCACAGTCTTTCAGTATGTGTAATATTGAAAAGATGCTTGAGTCACACCAATAAAAATTTTTATTTAAAAAAATTTATATTTCCAATGAATAATGAACTTTTCTTTAAGCATAATTGAATTATTAATCTTTTAACATTTATTCCCAAAGGCTAGTTTATATATGGTTGTAGTGAAGGAATTTTTAGTGTTTTTGGATACCATTAGTGATACTTGGATTGATATAATCAAGGTAAAAATTAATACGAGGAATTTCAACGAAACTGGATTTCAAGTTTTATATTTTCTGTTAGTGAATTGTCAGCTATTACTTTTTCTAGAACAGAAAATGAAATCAGGATTAATTATCACAAATTTTAATTTTAAATATTTTTTAAAATTTTATTAGAGAAAAAATGTATTATTTTAAATTTTTAGCAAATATATTAAGCATTGAATAAAAAACCAATGTATTTGTTATTTATTTGACAAAATAATTTTAATATTTTGACTTATGTTAAATTCATTTAGCAGAATATCTTTGCTTTTGATAACCATTAAATTCTTTAAAAGAATGAAACTGAAAAAATTAAATGTATTGATGAATTAATACTAAAAAATGCAAACAAATACACACAAAAAAGAAAGAAAGAAAGAAACCAAAAAAATTACAAGAAAAATAATTTGTTAATTTTATTCATTTCCAAAAATTTTTTGGGCTTTTTTTTCCTACTAGAAAAAATTAAGCAATAGTCTTTGGAAGAAAATGATTGTTATAAGATTATCATAATTTTTTAAATTATGAGAAGCTATTCTACAGTGAATATAACCAATCTTGTTTATTATATTAAAAATTCAGCCGTAAATTTTGTCTAAATTTTTAATATTCAATAGAAAGTGCAATTTAATTTTAATTAATAATTTGAAAAATTTAAGTTAAAGTGAAAACTATAATATAAGTTTTATTAATTTGAAAAAGGAAGTATGAATATGGAATACAATGACATTATCTGTTTAATCAAAAGTTTAGTATGACAAAAGGTAAATATGATTGAAATAAAAAGATTTAATTGGACTGCAGTTTGAAAAAATTATGGATCTATAAATTCTCACTGTTGTCTGTCTGTCTGTCATTCTTTAATCTCAAACAGTGTTAGTTAGATGAAAGCCAAGACCAGATATGGATAGCTTAGGGGCCGGAGGCCCAATTAACTATATACAAACTTCCACTTTGGGCCAGAAGTCACATTATTTCAATTCAAAAATTTCTCTGAATGAAGTTAGATAGATGACCAGCATGACTTCATTGTTAACAGGAAAAGTATGATGTACAGGGACAAGATACTATAGGAAATCTCATCAGTTCAAAATTCAAGTGACTAAATAATCGTGACTTTGAATTATTCAGTTTTGAATTATCTGAGATTTCTGTATATCTGTACACTATGCCATGTAACTGATGTAATTTATTAAGCAAACAGAATACAGATACGTACAAAAAAAGCTATTTTCATTAATAATAATATAAATGTGACAGTAAACACAATGTGTCCAGTGAGAACTTTGCAGGTTGCCAGATAGGTTTTATAAAAGTAAAGCAGAATTCCTTGAAATGTAGCAAAATTATTTTTAAAGTGGCCCAAAAAGTAAGTAAGTCATCCAAATCTAGTAGCTAGAGCCTTACAAATATCTCAATCTACTACTTGTAGCCCAATCTTGCAATCTCAAAACCCAACCATATTTTATGAGATAAGAGAAAAAAGGGTAGTCTGTTGGTGAGGTGACACCTGAAAATATGTTATTTTAAAAGCCATATTGACCAGATTAGAGTTGTTCTTGGTCTATTGTTCTCTTATAGTATGGAGGGACTTTGATCTAAATGAACAAGTTAACATAAGCATATTAGGATTTAGACAGAATTTTCAGTTTGAATTTCGAGGTAGCCATATGTCAAACTATCTGAATTCCTTAATGTGTAAATCTCTATATTCCTGGCTGGGACAAAAGTACCGTTAGGACTAATGGACTTTCGAACTATCTGAGTTTGAATTAATGAGGATTTCCTGTACTAAACTTAAGTGCATTATGATGAAAAATTGCAGCTTGGCATTGTGATGATATCACAATACATAATTGCTCATTTTTATATACAATATTGAATAAGAAATTTGTTATTTAAAAAATTAATAATATAAATTATTAAATAAATATTTAAGTCCAAACTAAATTTTCTGATATTTATTAATAGATATCATGTAAAAAAATAATTTTTTAAATAAATTCCAAGACATTAAATTGATAATTATTTAAAATTTCATATTATTAACAGGCAAGACAAATAAATGTTTCAACAGATGATGCAGAAGTAAAACTAACATTAAGACAACTTGGAGAACCAATATGTAAGTCAGAATGTTACTTTCATCAATATAAAAATACTTTATATTTTGGTTATGAATAATTTTCTAGATAAAGCCAATATTTTTAGATTAAATTAGTGTTTTAAATATAAATAAAATGTCTGTATCACTTAGTATTAGTGTTGAGTGAAATGAATACAAAAATTTCTACTCTTTAAAGTTGAATTATTATCCAAGTAATCATAATTATAAATAAATTAATTGAAAAATTGTTAAAAACTCTATATGAAAGATTTTAGAAAACGTGTTTTTTTTTTCCATTTTAAATTTTACCGTACGTTTCTATATTCAACGGTTGACTCAACAATGAATTTTCCGTTGAGTCCTTCCATTGAACGATCTGATGTCACGTTTTGCAGAAAAAAGAAACGCTTTCGTTGAGAGGTCACTTTTCAAGATGGCTGACTTAAGTAACAAGAAGGTGGCGATTGTATCTGTTTTGCTAAATAATTAAAGTAACCATTATTCAAATAAATTATTTTATTCAAATGAACCCATATCTGTATCATTTTCTTGAATACTGGGTCTTTCTTTAATAATTTAATTTCTTGAATATATATCATTAGAAAGACTTAGAGGGCCAAATATCGGTCGTAATCAATTTTGGACAAATGAAAAAAATCTTAATATTTTAATATTGACCAAATTATCCAACATAATTGTGCAATCACATGTTTTATCATATACAGATCGTTCATTAATCTGTCTGCTATTACAGCATCCACAGCAGTGAATGGATAGCTTCTATAAGCGAAATTTACTTTTTCATGGAAGCCACCATGTTAGTTTGTTGAACACTCAATGGTCTTTCAGGTCATTGAGACCATTAAGCTCAACGGTGAAACAGCGCTGATGTCACTAGTCTCAACGGAGAACTCAACAGTCCATTTAGAACATTGTTCTCTCACCGTTGAGTCAATCGTTGAATATAGAAATGTATGGCTAGTAGATGGAAGAGTGTGGATGATCAGTGCTACGGCCTACAGATTGTATATTATTATATGACAAGTTCAACTTCTGACATCTGCTTCATTAATTACATGTCCAGCTAACTAAAATTATGAAAGCCATTTATTAGATGTTTCCTTCTTTAATGTACATGAAAGAGCCACTACAAAAAAATTTGTAATTTTTATGTTGCTATTATTGAATGTTGTAAATTTATTCATATATATTTTGCTAAGGCAAAGCATTTCTCTATATTGTTGTGCAAGTCTATATGGATTTTTGCCTCTGGTACTCCTTCACCTACATAAACTAAATTACTGAATGCAGTTCTTTGAAATATAATACAACTAATTTGACAAAGTCAAAACTACATCATAATTAAACAGATAGTTTATACTGTAACTTGAAAAAGAAATTTAAGAATATATGAGATACTAGCTGTTTTGCCAATGTAATAGTATCATTCATAGTAAATGTTAAACCTGACATTCTTAATCAATTCTTAATAAATTTCAAAAATGTATTTGGTAAAACCCATTTTAAGATAATTATCAAAATGTCCATAAACTATGTTGAAGTACAGTCAAATTTACAATGTTCGTAGTTCACACACATTTGGCGACCATCTCGGTGTGCCAATTACATTAACAAAGTTTAGCTAGTTCAATACGCTGATCTCAGTTCATTGAGAAGACACCTTACAACACATCAACGAATTGTGACTAGAAGTAATCTCCTTCTGGTGGTTGAAGAGCAAACAGCAAGACAAATCCAGACTTGCTTTGACCACTGATGACACTTGAAGTTCCAAACTGAACTTAGATGAAACCGATGTATATCCTGTTGTGCCGAAACAAACTTAAATCTCCTGCTTCGACATTAACCTTTTTATAGCATCAGCAGCAGGCTCGATGACCAATCAGTGCTCACCGAGCTGTAGCACTATGCAAATATTGTGTGGCGTGATTCCTGGCCGACCAATCAGCAATTACCAGTTGTAACGCTATGCAAATACATGATTTTTATTCAATCAGCTATTACCGAGCCATAGCCTTATGCAAATCATGCTGTGTGGTGTGATTATCTGCTGACCAATCAGCGGCCACGCATTCAAAAAGCCAACAGCCACTTTCAATCGTCTGTTGACAACCATTACTAGTTCAAAAAAAAAACTGGAATTGTGTCTTTACACGATCTAACCCCAACATACATCCTTGTAAATAGCAATTTTATACATAAATAATTGCAAGTACTGATAGTTTTGTTTATTTGGTTATGGCAATGTAACACATGGGCAATCTGCCGAAGGAGATGGCTTCTGAAAAGAGTTTTATGGGGAAACTGGCTTCTGTTTTGGTGTTACTAACATGAAGAATACTGGGAAACTGTATGTGGCCAGCTCATTGGTGATGTGAGAACCTATGACCAGTGCAGCAATTTTGACTCCACTCAAGTGCTTGCCATGTGCCACTCATCAAAGTAATAATACATGGTTTGTAATAAACAAACATTCTCATTTATAGATATAGATTAATAAATATATAGGAAGTTAACTGCATAATGGGATATTTACAAAAACACTTTAAATACTTTTGACATATTTTTGTGTAATAGTGATTGCATGTTCATTCTGACTGTATGCATCAAAGTATTACAGCATGATAGTATAATGAGCTATTCTAGCTAACTATTTTAACTTTTAAAGTTAATTTTATAATAATTTTCAAAATTCACATTTACAATCTTAACAATCATAATAAAACTTTTTTAATATAATATTCTTCAACAGTTTCTATGTTTTTCAGATTTTAATATATGTAATTATTTATGGAAATAAGTGGCTAAATTGTTAAAGGTTCAATTTTATTTTTGGAAATTTAAAATATATAAAAGAATCTTAATAAACTTTGTATTAATTATATCAAATGAACTATTGTGATAAGTGGTTAATGCATATATATCTTACATTTTAATGTTAGGTCTATTTGGAGAGGGTCCTGCTGATAGAAGAGAGAGACTTCGTCAGCTTTTAGCTCGATTAGGAGAAGATGCTATTAGGAGAAAAAAAGAAGAGGAATATATTCAAGAAGAAAAAGAAAAAGAAGTAATAAATGGCAATAATTAGTGTAGAGAATATATAATTACAATAGATAGTTAAGATTATGCAATGTCATCTAATGTAATTTTATGTACACACACTTCATTTTCTTAAGTGTGATGAATGGCATAATTTTTAGCATGATTGAATTATAAATCAATAGTTACTAGAATTTTTTCTAAAATATTGTAATCTCCTACAGATGAGCCACATTAACATATAACCCTAGAATTTCTATAATGAAAATAAAACCTTTACAAGACCTACATTACCATATATTATGCACCTCCCAAGTGGCATTCGAAATATGATATTTATAATGTCATAATTATAGAATGGAAAACTGAGATACTTATGAATAGGAAAAAAACACTTTTAGTGTTATGAAAATATATAATTTATAGGAAACTATATAATACAAAAGTACAAGATAACTAAATTAAAATGAAGTGTTAAAATACATATTCTATACTATATACTAAATTCTATAATCTTAGAAAGAAAATAAATATTTATTCTACACATTAAAGTAAAAGATAAAAATATGCAATGTTATCTATGTAAGTAAATTTATTATATAGCTGATGCTATCGTTACTATGCATTTCTATTATGTGAGCCCCATTACTACTAATAAAGCAATGTTATCAAATCAAAAATTTATCATAAATAGTATTTAAGTTAATTTGCTTACTTTATTTACTTACTTTATTTACATTTCATTATTAAGCTCCAGAATGTATGAATAATTGTGGTAAACATTGAATAATAGAATTATCTGCATGTTCCTTGTAGTATTGAAAGACCAGCAAACAATCAAGTAATAGAATCATCATTGCAAAAATTAAATTTAAATCATTTATTTTTTCTTTGTTTCTTTTCTGTTTAAATATACTGAATTTTTTTCAATTGTGGGTGTAACGCAAGATATTACTGTAATTTCAAAATTGTCTGGGCAAAACCTGGACTTATGGTTTTGAAGTTAATACTACAGTTTAGAAGATATTACATGAAAAATATTTTTTCCTCTGTTTCTTTCATTTTACTTCTATTATAAGTTCATCTTGTATACAGGGTGGCTTTATTTAAAGTTTCCCAGTCCAAAGCACACTATAGCTGTAACCAATAAGTGGAATGACACCAAAATCTGTATACAGACTATGCATAGGATGTGGAAAAGAATTTTGCAAAAAAGGAAATTTAGTTTAAAAATTTTTGCTAGAGGTGCTTTGCAGGAAAATACATGAAACAAAACTACAAAAATACATTTATCCATTCCACAATGAATATGCCACATACCTTCTGTAGAGATTGTTATTCAATGTGAATGTGTGTCCAAGTTAAGGTGTAAAATTTGAAGGTGATGAATATTGTGTTCTACAGCTGACTGCAACTGCTCTCCAGTGATGCTTTGCAAATACAATGTAATATGATCCTTTAAATCTGCCAGTTGCAACACAATAAACCATATTTTTTAAATGGCCCTCCAACCTGAAATCACATGGATTTAGATCTGAAGAACATGGTGGCCAGGCAATCAGAAACAAACTAATCACCCAGTGATCAGTGAAATGGTGAAAGACCTACTGTATATTGCATCCAATATGGGGACTCACCATCCTGCAAATGTTGCAGATGCAAGGCATTGTTACTGTTGGAGTTAGGATATGACAAAAGTGTAGATCATGTCAAATATATCAATGCCCCTAGCAGAAGTTTTTAAATTAAATTTTTTAAAAATACTTTACTGCATCCTTTACATAGTCTGTATACAAATTTTATTGTCGATCTGCTTATTGGTTACAACTACAATGTGCTCTGAATAGGGAAACTTTAATTATGGCCAACCTATATATAAAATAAGGAGGTGGAGCCACTTAAACTATACTGTTGAAAATACAAAATAGCTACATCACATTACAGAAAGTACCATCTTCTAATAACTGGAAATATAACTACGACATACCACTTAAAGAAATCTTGAAATTCCAGGTCGAGTTTGGTGTTCCAAATTTACAGATCTTCAGTAAGATTGAAAACATTTGTAAAATATTTACATTTTATTAAATATTTACAGGAATTTCAAGATTTTTGTTAAGTGGTGTGTCATAGAAAGCACCATACTAAACACATCATATAGTCAGGAAATTCTTAAATACAAAAATATACAGCGTTTATACAGAAGATACAAATACATACATCAACAGCATGTAAACAAAAAAACAATTTTTGATAGCTATGTCTTGACTTTGGTCTGGTGTGATACTAGGTACTTCAGTATTATATTAGATCAAGTACTAACAACTGAGTAGGATATCCTACTCAGTTGTTAGTACTTGATCTAATATAATACTGAAGTACCTAGTATCACACCAGACCAAAGTCAAGACATAGCTATCAAAAATTGTTTTTTTGTTTACATGCTGTTGATGTATGTATTTGTATCTTCTGTATAAACGCTGTATATTTTTGTATTTAAGAATTTCCTGACTATATGATGTGTTTAGTATGGTGCTTTCTATGACACACCACTTAACAAAAATCTTGAAATTCCTGTAAATATTTAATAAAATGTAAATATTTTACAAATGTTTTCAATCTTACTGAAGATCTGTAAATTTGGAACACCAAACTCGACCTGGAATTTCAAGATTTCTTTAAGTGGTATGTCGTAGTTATATTTCCAGTTATTAGAAGATGGTACTTTCTGTAATGTGATGTAGCTATTTTGTATTTTCAACAGTATAGTTTAAGTGGCTCCACCTCCTTATTTTATATATAGGTTGGCCATAATTAAAGTTTCCCTATTCAGAGCACATTGTAGTTGTAACCAATAAGCAGATTGACAATAAAATNTTTTTGATATTATTATTATATTAGATCAAGTACTAACAACTGAGTAGGATATCCTACTCAGTTGTTAGTACTTGATCTAATATAATAATAATATCAAAAACAATATTAAATGCTAAAATAAACTCAAAAAAGTTAGATATAAAAAATTCTAATAGCAATAATATGCAATGGCACAGGCTTAAGAGCTGATTACTCATCTATTCACTATAGAGAACTAAGATAGGTCAAAATCAACAATCAGCTTTTAAATAGTTTTCTGAGAGTCATATAGAGGTGTGAGAAAACTGAAAATTTATCTGCTTTTAACATACAAGTTTGAATAGGAGTATCTAATAATGTAAATTAAAGCATAAATTGATGCATAGAAGTTTTGGTAAATTATGACAAAGGAAAAGCTATTTGATGAATTAGTTAATGCAAGTCAAAATCAGCAAATAATTTGCATCACCACATAACCCACACCTGCTTTTAAATTGGCTTTTAAATACCAATAACTCACAGATTATTTTCAGGAAATTATGATGATAATAATGAAAGACAGTTTAAAATATGTTAATTTCCTTGATTTTATATTCTTATTGCATTAAAATGCCAAGATAAAAAATTTTCAAAATTATTTGTGTATGTTATAAGCAAGGTACAATTACATTTAAGTTTCTTAAGTTTAACAAACCTTATACAATGTTAAAATTATATGTTAAACTGATTTTTTTAATATTTGTGTTGTTATGAATTATTATTAAGTATATTTGAGAAAATTATCTTTATAATCAAATCTTGCTTTGAATATGAATGTTTTTTATATATTAAGTTTTAAAAAAGATTGTTGTTTAGACAAAAACATTTTAGCCATTGTAATTTATGGTATTGTATTTATTTTTTATTAGAACTAGAAAATAAATAAACTATTTTTAAAATATTTACAGTGTGAATCCACTTGGTATCATGAAGGTTCAAAAGGTTTGAAGGCAGCAAGGTTATGGATAGCTAGATATTCTATACCCAAGTAAGTACTTTTTTTATTACTTTAAAATTTTGATAAAATTCAAATATATTTTGACTTAATATTGTCACAGATAGAAAATCTGATGGTTTTCTTGAGAACACAAAATTTATTTATTAACTAAGAAAACTTACTGAATAAATTTATTAATACTAAAGTAAATTGAACAAAAATTAAATTGGAGAAAACAGAAATAAGATTACTCTCAGAAAAGTCTTAGCATGGAGTTGTTTCATGAATGCTTCTTTCATTTGAATAGTTTTCAAAATAACAGTGGTATTACAATAATATTTCAAAAACTTTGAAAAAAACATCTCTTATTGGACAAAGGTCTAACCAACAAAAATATGCTTTACAGTAATATTACACAGCACAATTAATAATTTAAAGTGCATTTTAATTTATTATTTGAAGATTTATAGTTACATGGCACAAGCAGTATAAAATCATCAGGAATCTGACACTATTTGGATATTTGTCAAACAACATGTGGCTATGTACATGAAATTGTGAGATTTATGCTGGTAAGAGACTAGATTTAGCAACATTCTACAAGGTATTGAGAGGGTGAGCATATTCTTTGCATGCAAACAATAATTTTGGGTTTACAGTCGGATAATTTTTACATATTTGTAGATTGAAAAAGAAAGAAAGGATGCTAAGCCACAAGTTTTGGAAGACAATTTGAATATTTTTCTTTTTTTCTATAAAAACACAAACAAAGAAGCAAAAAGTGAAAGCTAATGAAGAAGCTAAGGATGATAGTTGACAAACAAGCTTACTCTGGATGTCTGTCCATCAATTTCACTTGACTTTTAACTAATTGAATGTTTGAGATAGAGGTCTGAAATACCTATTTGTAAATCTGCATAATAAAATTTGCATTGATTGGTTAAAGCCCCAGGAAAAAAAGGCTACTGAAGTAACTTAAATACATACAGTGGATGTCACACCAACAATTGTACTGATTCAAGAGAAAAATTTACATAAAAAGGCATTAAAGAACATTTTATTTTCCTGCAAGCACTTTCATTGCAGTAATGAACGTCATTCTCAGGCAGAAACAGAATCGAATAGATTTTCGAACAAATTTTTAAATTGGAACAAAAACGGCATTGGCTGCTTAGAACATAACAAGTTTAAAAATAAGAAAACTTAAAATATGCGTAATATCATTGCGCATGCGCCTTACTGTGTAGAGAAGGCAGGGATATAGGAACAGAGTTAATGCAGGTGTCTTAATCATTTCTATAGACTGATCCAAACCCTGGACTATTCGAGGGTGGGAGAGTTGCAAGGAGACAGCAGTGTGGTGAAGAGAGCCTCCTGAATGTACACCAAATTCCCTTCTTCACAGCACCTGAGCATCACCACATGGTTCCAAAGTGGGGTGTGGTGGTGCTGTACAACCATCTTGGACAACTCAGTGTCACAGCTGCTCCCTGTGACAGAACATTGGTGCTCTGATATGCGTCTAGATAGCATTTTGGTGGTCACCCCTATATAGTGGGTGTGTGCCCCAGACATTGGGTTTTCCAATGGAATAGAATATACGCCCAACTTTTCTAGGATTGAAACCACATTCCTGTCATTACATAAAAGCCTCCTCAGTCTAGGGTACAAGATAATTAGTAAAAGTAAGGCCTTTTATCTAAAAATATGGCAAATCCAGGCTGCAAGGCAGCCACAAAATGACAGAGGGGCGGACTACTGTCCAGTCCCTTGGGCTACATAAGGTAGTAGGTGGGAAAAAGGATCTTTTAACTCTGTTTAGGATATGGTTGTGTTTGGTGGAACCATATCCTGCCGCACATATTGTTGTGCGGATGATCTCTAATTCAGAGTTGGTAAAATGTTGTGTGGAAGGCATCAAAAAGGCCCTTGGCTGTGTTAACATAACATATCTTATATATATATAATACTTATCATAACAAATGAAAAAATGGATAAATCTAACACAATAAAATTTTGGTTAGATAATAATTTGGAGAAAGTAGGATGGCATTTTTCCAAATTCAAATTGCTTTTAATAATGGATTATTGACAAATACATATAATATCAAAAATTAAAAATTTTGAAATATTTAATTTTACCTACAATTCCTGATAATGTGATGGAAAAAACCATAACTGCTTAATATCTGTTTATGTAACATACAAATGTTTGCTGATATTCATGTTTACAAATTTTGATTGTATGAAAGAGCTTCATACAGGGTTTGTCCGAAAAGTAATGTCAGTGATTTTACTGTGAAGCAAATACATGTCACAGTGCACTCAGAGCAGTGGGGATCAGTGGAAGGAGGAGTCAGGTTATGCATGTATAACCTGACTCCTCTGTCAAACATTATAAGGTCGCTCAATTGCCTCTGACCATCTGGAGAGTAAGGACAGGCGTTTTTGTGAACCTTGTTTTCTTCTCCCATGCAAGCCGCAATGCAGTGCTCTATTGAGCAAAGGATTGCCATCAAGTTTTGCGTGAAACTCAGCAAGTGTACAGTGGAAACTTTTCCCATGATAAAAACAGCCTTTGGTGATGATTGTTTATCAGAACACCAAGTCTATCAGTGGCACAAGGCATTTGTTGAAGGCTGTGAAGTGGTCAGTGATGAAACCCGCACTGGAAGGCCATCAATGACCACCACCAACAAAAATGTGATGCGTGTGACTGAACTCTTGAACTCAGACTGTCATTTGAATGTTCATTTAATGGCACAGACATTAAACATTCCAAAAAGTACCATTCATGAGATTGTGACGAACAATCTGTAGATGAGAAAAGTGTGCACCAAGCTAGTGCCCAAAGTGTTAACGGATGACCAAAAATCGCACCGAGTTGAAACATGTCAGGAACTTTTGGACTTGTGTGGAAGTCCAAAAGTTCCCCCACTTTTTAGACAATGTTGTGAGATTCTGAAGAGATTTTAATATCTTTAATAATTGTAAAAAGAAATCATATAATATTTAAAAAATTCAAAGGAATTTTAGCCACAAAAATTAAAAGGAAAAAGGAGAGGAATTAAGGAAGTTTATTTCCTTTTCCCACCAACTTACTTCCTTCAAAAGTAGTTAGTCATCCGATGACTACATGTTTAGTAAGAATTAGTTCATTGTCAGATGACAAAATATTCAAGTCTCCATTGGAGGAGTAGGGAGTATAAATAAGGGATAGTACCAAAATCCACACACAACATAAAGTATCCTCTTATTATGAATTTGTGTGCCATACTCTCAGGGATTGGAACTTCTGCCCACCAAATGAAATTGGTATAAGTCAAGTTATTACAGAGGTAAAATAATATCGTTTGTAAACTCTCTCTCTTATCTCCCATATTAGGAATTATTACATTGTACTGTTTTCTAAGCTAGATGGAATATTTAGTTATTTTATTTGTAATCGTTTTTCCTTTTTGTTATTAAAATTTTATTGTTTACTTGTTCAGTCAGTCATCATTAGCTTAGTGCATAACAGTCACCTTATCACTTACCTGCATCTTCCCCACTCATCATTTAATTAGTCCTCCTTTTAATGATAGAATAAGATTTACAGATCGTGAGTTAAACTGCAATTAAAAATAACAGTTTAACTGGTGTCAGTCCTGACTAGATTAAGACTAGACTAAAAGATCTTAATCTATTTTAATTAGCCATCCTAGACATTGAGATCGGGTTTAACTACCCATGCTGAATAAGTGGACAGGAAACCCTTGGCCCCCAGCTGCTCACAATATCATCACAGATGATGAGTGTTGGTCTTTGAGTACGACCCTGAAACAAAAAGGCAAAGTGCCAAGTGGCGCATCTCAGCATTTTGCCCCAAGAAGACCAGAATGAGCAAGTCAAAGTCAAGACAATGCTCATTGTGTTTTTTGACATTGGGAGGCTCATCCATCATGAGTTTGTACATAGTGAATTTGGCATTGACAGTTACATGGTGTAACTGTCAATGCCAAATTCTACGTGGAAGTGCTCAAGAGATTAAAATGAAGGGTTCATTGTGTCTGGCCCAACATTGCAGACAATTGGAAACTTCACCATGACAACACGCCAGCCCACACCACCTTCCTCATGACCCACTTCTTGGCTGATTCAAAGGTGCCAATGGTTCCCCAGCCACCCTACAGTCCTGACATGGCTCCCCCGACTTCTTGTTCCTGCACTTGAAAACTCCCATGAAAGGACATCATTTTGGGACAGTTGACAAAGTCAAAGAGGCCTAAACCAAGGCTCTAAAGGACATTTCAGAAAAGACCTACCATGACACCTTCAATGCCTAGAAATCTCGTTGGAAGTGATGTATTGATGCAGGAGGAGCCTATTTTGAAACCTTTTAATGTATTGTACCTATCGGATCAATAAATGTCTTCTAATTGACTCATTGACATTCAGACAAACCCTGTAATTAAAATTGGCAGAAGGATTCAATATACAAGAATGGAAATGTTTTAAAAATGGTTTCTGGAAAGAATTAAGTTATGTTATATTGTTATGTAAAAAGCATTTGTGATTCTTTAAAAGTTTCTGTTTTTTTTATTACAGTCGATGTGTGCCGGGCTGTGAACGGCTCACATATTTGTAAAATCTAAGTGACTCGTACAACATGTAATTCAGATAAAACGGAAAAATCAATGATCTTATAGGGGGATCGACTGTATTAGCATTTACATTATCTACAAGAAAATAAAGCAATACTTTTAACATAAATTCTTACATATGTTCTGTCTTTTACAGAACATATTTTTTGGTGTCTAGATTTGGAGAATGATTGTTTTTGGGGTTTTGCAGACCTCTACAAATTATTAAAATTGTATTAATAATAATATATTTTATATATTACAATTCATTGGAAATATTGTTTGTAAATTAGCATAAAGTAAAGTTTCAAATAGTAGTAATTTGATTAAATTTAAATGCAAACACTTAATTATTATTGGTTATAATTTAATGTTATTAAAATTTTTTATTTATATTTTGCATTAGAGCTAAAGCAAGACTACAGAAAGCAAGAGAAGATAAAAATGTACCAGAATCACAAAAGAATGCAAAACAACAAGAACTCTATAAAAAGTTACGGGTAAAATAATTTTTGAATGATATGATTTTTAATATAATGAAATTATTTTTATATAGTTTCATGAAATACATTATGAAATTTATTGAATATGAATTCTAAATTTAAATGTTTCTTTTTTAAATTAATAATCATATTCACTGATATTAATACAAACTTACAATCAATGAAAAATTGAAAAGTTAATAAAGTTAAAAATAATTTAATAAAAATTATCATGATAAATTGAAGATGCAAATTAACTTACTGAGTTCCCTAAACAAACTGATTAGTCAGAAACCAATTGTTGTCTTGGAGTAATCATTTCTTATAGGAAACTCAGTAGATATAAATTAGCCCTGTTTATATCTTCAATCAAAACCTATTTGTATAGCAAATAATTCAGATTTAGTTTAAGCTCTTTGAAAAAATAATATAAATATGCTCATATATTAAGATTTACAATCAGATAAGACTGTTCTATGAATGTATTTCATTTTTATTTATATTCTGATATGCTTTCAGTTTGTATTCTCATTTTGTGCAGTGAATTAATCATGATTAAAATAGATAAAATTGAAATAGTGTTATAAGAATAACATTTAATGATTATTTTTAGTTTTAAATTTTGAACAGTGATTTTATTTATTATATATTCTACAGGAATAATAAGTTATGTTTTTTTATGTAAGAAAATGTAATCTATTTGAAGTTTAACAGACAAACTTATTGGTTATTATCTCCAAATAATAATTCTAAGTTTTATTGTTTTCTGTTTTGACAGATACAGCTATTACTACAGATTTTATTTAATTTTTTAAATACAATTTGCCTTATTAATGTAAAGTTAGTTGAAAGCTCACATGAAGAATATCATTTATTTATTTATTTTTCATTTTCATTTTGCCCAGGGAAAAATAATGAATTCATAAATTTTAATTTTTATAGTTAATTTATTCTTTAACCTCCTTATTTACAGTTTCTAGTTTTAAAATAATGAAAAAAGCAGTTTAAGGAAAAGTCAATATTGGGATTTTTTCTGTTTATAATTCATTGTTAAATAAGACTTGTGATATTAATATGTGAAATCCGCGATTTTTACACAGTTGTCCGAAAAAAAGAATTGTAAACAACTCTGAGCGAAAAAACACTCCTGGTGAGAATTATATCAGAGGTCACCATTTGTTATCACTATTAGCTGGGAAAGTTGACACATAGGTGTCAAGAATGCACCGTTAATGTCAACAGATGGCAATCGTGTGACTCCTTTCTCACGAAAAACGAATAAAAGCATGCTCTCCCGGAACTCAGCACGCGTCTGCACACGGAAGTTATTTTTTGTACTTGTGCTCGTCAATCTCCATGTCAAGGACTGTGATCCCATCAGAGAAGACACCGAAGCCTCCACCTCTTCCATACAGACAATGTTCGCCAACTCTCTATTATTCTGAGAGGTATTTAGGGACTTTAGAACTTGTATAAGTGCTCTCTCTTGATAGTAGGTCAGCAACACAAGATTAGTTGCCATTTTATGTAAATAGAAGTAGATTAACTGCATTTAACCTTAGTAGTTTTATTTCTCCCTCATGTAATTTAGATTAGTTATTCAATAAATGCTTTGTTTATTTGTTAAACCTGTCTTCTGTCTCTGAAAGGATGCCTGCCGACTTTCTCACCTCCCTCACCACTCAATAAAAAGCTATCCGGACGACAACATGAGCAGTCCTTGCAGACTGTTGCTGAGTAAGTGGTCAAGAGGGATTAACCCTTGGCCCATGGTTTCTCACAAATACATTAAAAAGTAATTCAAATAAATCCAGTCTGAACATTGACTTTCAGTGTTGAGATGTATGTGCTGTCCATATGTTCTTTCTATTTTAAGTTTAGACTAGTGTCATTACACAGTATCTAGGCTTTCTGTCACAGCAATGACTTAATCTAGATTATTTAAACTGTATAGTCTGTAAAAGTTGCCATGATAGCTGCTTATGTAATTCTTTATTTTAATTTTTTTACTTCCTTTACTCTGTGGACACCAAGATGGCCTTTTATCAAGCCCATCATGGGTTTAGTTGGGTCCACAATGGGGTCCATCAGGTAAGGAATAAGGTCTGACATATTTAGGATGAACCATCCACAAAAAAATACCTGAATTCAATTCTGGGTCCCCAGAGCAGCAGGCTGATTGTTGAACATTAAAATTCTGTTGGCCAACAGAATTTTAATGTTGCAACACTGAAAAGTTTTGTGCAGGTTGGAAATTGGATGGAATGCACAAGACATCAGGTGGTGATATATCAACACACTTCATGCAACATTGACACTTGTTGCCCAACATCACATAGTTTAGAGATACAAATTTAAGGACTAACCAAATGATGGTTTTTCAGTGTATACTGTACACTAGATCTACACATAGTGTCACCTTACCAAACCTTAAGATTAAAAGTCATATTTTCATTTTCTGTGGGTTTTATTTTCTGAAAATATTGTTAAAAAACAATTTTTCTCTTCTATTCTGATTAAAAAAATCTTATGCCACTTTTTTTACTAACTTCCCTAATTTAAGTTTTTTTAAATTTATTTACTGAAGAAGCACCCAATAAAGCCCATTATCAAAACTTATTTTTTATTTCTGTTTAATTGTTTATAAATTTTTTCCTGATATTGGGCTAATATATACAGATTGAAGTCAAAATGTAATACAAAAACAAACACAAATCCTAGCTCTTTGAATATGTAAATTGAAAATCGGGGAAGCATAACTGTAATATTATATTGGTTAGCATAGGGTAAACATTGATTTTATCAATGAAAATATTGAACAATATAGCATTTTAAAATACCATGTTAAACTGAAACTGTGTTGTTTAAAATAATGTTTTTACTTTTTTTCCTACTGTGTACCATTTATTTATTTATTTATTAAACTGAAATCTTGCTTTTGAGTGTCATGTAAATTAAGGGTTGAATGTGTGTTTGTGTGTGTGTGTGTGTGTGTGTGTGTATATATANGCAAAATATATATATATATATATAATTAATTTATTAAATATTAAATAAATGTGTGCTACACATATAAAACTATTTTATTTTTACTTTATTTTCAGTCTATTAATATTAACTGTAGTCAAATTGGAGATACTCGTCCAATATCATTTTGTCAATTTAGTCCAAATTCTAAAATTTTAGCCACAGCTTCTTGGTGAGTTTTATTTTATGTTACACTTTTAAATAGTATTCTAAAACAGTTTAAATGTTAGAAAACATTATTATTTATAATACTAACTCTCATATTTAAACTTGCACAACATACTAACATATTGGAAAGTATTTTTAGTTATCATTTTGACTAACATAATTTTTTTGGCATATCACACACTATTTTTTATATGTATGATATTTCAATATCATACATATAAAAAATGCAACTTTGGCACACAGACTTAAAAAGTTTGGGAAAACTTTTTAAGTCTGTGTGCCAAAGTAAGCTTATTTAACTTTAAAAAAAATTGTGCACACACAAAGTTTTGAGTTCAAAAAGCTATTTTTAAATAAATGATATTAGTATAACAATAAATTTAAAAAGATAAACCAAACTGACTATATATCAAAACTAGCTGTTACCCGCGACTTCACATGTGCAAATTTTGCAAGCAAACCCCATTTATATCCAGTATTTCAACAACTATAGTACATAGGTGTATAAGCTTAAATCTGCTGTTTTTTAGTCAGAAAAACACACGTTTTTTTTCTTAGAAAGCAAAAACAAATTTATTCAAAGTACTTTCCCTCACTAGTGACACATTTGTTCCATCTCTCGGGCAATGTGTGGATACCATGCCAAAAAAATTTCTTCTCTTTCGAGGCAAACCACTCATCAAGCCATTTTCGGACGTCTTCGTAAGAATCGAAGTGCCGCTCAGCAAGCGCGTGGCCCATCGATGAAAAGAGGTGATAGTCGGAAGGGGCCAGGTCTGGTGAATAAGCGGGATGGGGTAGCACCTCCCAGTTGAGTGTCTCCAAGTAGTTTCGGACCAATGTTGACACATGCGATGGTGCATTGTCGTGGAGGAAAATCAGCTTGTCGTGTCTTTGCTGATAATCCGGCCTTTTTTCACGCAGAGCACAGTGCAATTTGATCAGTTGTTGGTGGTAGCGGTGAGCATTGACAGTTTCACCAGGTTTCAACAGCTCATAGTAGACAATACCCTGCTGATCCCACCAAACGCACAGCATTGTCTTCCGTCCAAAGCGATTTGGTCTTGGGAAAGATGTTGATGGTTTGCCTGGATCAACCCACGATTTCTTGCATTTAGGATTCTCAAAATATATCCATTTCTCATCGCCAGTTACAATCCGATGCAGAAACGACTTTCTTTTTTGTCTGGCGAGCAAGATTTCGCATGTGTTTTGGCGTCGCTCCATCTGCCTATCGTTCAATTCATGCGGCACCCATTTTCCGATCTTCTGAATCTTTCCCATGGCACGTAGACGCATGGAAATGGCTGGTTGAGTAACACCCAATTGCTCGGCAAGCATTTTTTGCGATTGGGTATCGTCCTCATCCAAAAGAGCCTGCAGTTGATGGTCCTCAACCTTCCTGGGCCGATTTTCACGCTTCTTGTCGCTCAGGTAAAAATTTCTATCTTTGAACTGACGAAACCAATCTCTGCACGTGGTTTCCGATAAAGCTCTGTCTCCATAAGCCTCCACAAGCATTCGATGTGCTTCGGAGCCAATTTCTTCAAATTAAAGCAGAAAAGCAAAGCTTGCCGCATATGCTCTTTTTCTGGTACAAAAGTAGACATGATTACAAAAAAAAAAAAATATATGTTGTTGTATGAAATATCTGATGATGTGCACTGATTAATGTTGACAGACGTCAAAATCATCAAAAAAACAATATGGCGTCGTCATGGTAACTTAATACGCTCGCTTACGCCATCTATTAGCAAACAGCGGATTTAAGCTTATACACCTGGTAATTGTTATATAACACCTACTGCTGAGAATGATGAGAATTGCTTAGAATCAAACAAACTATTTTCAATTTTATCAATTTTCTGGAACATTTACAATTGTTCTATAATTGAACCAATATGCAATAACAAATTCGAATTTAAAATGGTTCGAACATTTGGCTAAAAAATCGAAATATATAAAAATATTTATAACAATGTCTGAATTGTTATCAAGTTAATACACCTAAGTACTCAATGAAGACTAAACATAATTGAAAACATGTAAAATAGTACAATAGAAGCCATTCTTCAGGTTAAGCCTTAATCCTCTCCCTCTCTCCCCACGGGGGAATTTCAAAAAATCCCTTATTAGTGTGCGTTTTCATGACATACCCTAACGATGTACAAAATTTCACCTCTTTAGGTTCATCAGTTTTGCTCTGGGCAATGATGAATCAATCAGTCAATCACTCAGTCAGTCAGGACAAGTAATTTTATATATTTAGATTAAAACTGAAATTGAATCACATAATTTTAATGTCATATATATGATATTTACTTGGTCAAAACAACTTTATTGAACTGATTTTGGAGTACTTCATATTGAAGAGTTATACTAATAGGATACTGTAATCATATAATTCTATTATTTATATTATTCTAATACTATACAATAAAAAAAATGAAATTGAATGATATGTTGCAAATTTTTTTGCATGCTTTGGCAAACCTACGGCACACTCAGCCATTTTATTCGCAAGTGTGCCATAGGTTTGCCATTCTTGACTTAGTTAACAATAGTTTCAAAGAATCAACTAAGTTCAGTATTATAAATTGAGGTTACACTTCCAAAAATACAGTTTAAATTATGTAGTATTATATATAGATGAATAATAAAATATATATGACATTTTACATAGTTTCCCATAAAATTTATTCCAGTCTTAAAGGCAGGGATTATAAAGTAAGAAATCTAGATGTAATTTTCTTATAATTAAAATATATTTAATTTCTCTGAACCTATGTAGATATGTGCTCTACATGAAAAATTGCTCAATTTTTTCAAAGCAAATAAATTATGAATTAAAGAATGATACAATATTCAAAAAAACATAAATGTGTAATCATATAAATAACTGGAAAATATACAAAGTAGAAATAAAATTTTTTTAAACTTTTTGTATTAATAATTAATTCTTTTCAATAGGAGTGGATTATGCAAACTGTGGTCAGTTCCTGATTGTCAACTTATAAGAACTCTAGAAGGTATGATTGAATTATAGAAAATTTTTCTTTATTTATTGAAAAGATATTTAAGACTTTTTGTAATATTTATTAGTATTTTGCATAATTCATAATAATGTTAGTTCAAATTTAAAATTAAGTTATTTTTTAAGTATGTAATTTTATAATTATTAATTGGAAATGTTTTGTAATTCTGTTTCATTAGAAATTTCTAATATTTTCTAACTTATTTTCAGATTTTAAAAATATGTGCCATACTGTTCAATAAATGAAAAGTTGCTTAATTAAGATTTCCAAAAATAGTTTTAATATGAAACATTTCTGGTCTCATTCAGGCCATTCTCCATTTGACTTTAATGTATGCTTGAGGTTGAAAACATTTCATATTAACAATTTTTGATGACCTTAATCAAGCAGATTTTTGTTTATTATTTTTTGAATTTTGTTCAAAAATTCCAAATATGGGAATATTAATTAAAAATTAAAAAGTTTTGAATAATTAAAATCTTTAGTCTTACTGATGGTTAGTTTCTTTGTCAACTCTGTTAAATAATTAATAATAGTTTGTAACCATGATTAAATTAGCAAATATTACGGTTATTAATTTTTATATATCTACTTATTTAATTGCTTGAAATAAATGTTGTTATCAGATCAGTTAATATTGAATATTAACTGATCTGATAACAAAAGAAAAAATTAAGATTAAAAAAATTCTTTTATAAACTGAAAGATATATTTAAATTGATAAATTATTAATTGCAGAATTTTGTCATTTCCTTAAAACATTTGTGGCATATATTGTCGGCAAATAATTTCATTATTTAATTTATTTGATACTAAAATGTTTTCCACAAGATTTAAAGATATAATTATATAAAGTATTAAGAGAAATATAAATTTGTAAAAGGAAATTATACAAATTTGTAAACAAAGAAGTATTAATTTTCTTGATCATGTTAAATTTCACTTACATGTACAATCCAACAAGTTCTAAACACAAATTTTGTGTTTAACTGACTAAACTCATGTATCTATTTTCTCCAAAATGAAAGATGATTTTCTTATTTCAAATTGCCAAAAGTTTAAAACTATCATCATCAAATTTTTCTATATGTTAGTATAATTTTTATATTAAATTTTACTTTATTAATATCTTCTCAGTATTCATGTTTATTCATATTATAATTTGAAAATTAGCATATATTAAAATAAACTTAACATAGCTATTAAATTTGAATTTATTTAATGTTAAATTATTAATTTATTAAAATAAACAACTTTGCATTATTAATCGTTTAAAAACTAATAAACATTTAATTAACTTCTAAGATAAAAATTAACTGTTATTTTAAAAGCTTTTTATTTTAAAAAACATTTAAAAGTTAAATTAGCATAAATTTTAGGAAGATAAAGTTAATTAGCTGTAGAGGTAATGAGATAATATAATAAATTTAATAAATAATTTCATTTTATGAATAAAATTAATCTGTTTGATGCTATTTCAGGACATAATTATAATGTTGGAGCAATAGTATTTCATCCTCAAGCTACACTTTCTCTCTCAGATTCTGAATGCTGTATGGCAACATGTGCCACAGATGGATCAGTTAAACTGTGGGACTTGCAAAGGTAATTTGATTTTTAAAAGTATTCTTTAAATGTTTAATTTTACATACAGTCGACCCCCCTATAACACAGTAGATACGTTCCGGTTTTTATGAATCCATTTTTTACGAGTCCAGCCAATCACAGCTTGGCACGTATGCAGTTTATGGACTACGGCTGTTTGAAAGGTTTCTTCCATAAAATTAATCAATTCTAGACTAATTCGACTCAACATTTCCAAAATACGTATAATTTTTTGGGAATAATCCATATAAACTATGCTATAACAAAAAATTGTAGGATTACTTACCGAGTGTGCACCATTCAACCACGTCATTGCTTAAGCTTGTCATCAAATGGCACTCGCGTGCTTCCTGATAAATTATTTTTTTGTGACAAATTCACTGAACTTTGGAGACATCATTAATATAAATGTAATTTTTACGGACGTTAAATAATAAATGATTTTTAGTAGGTCTGCTGCTCGATTAAACTCAACGATTTGTACAATATCCGCTATTGGTCTAGATTCGACCAATCCTGTTGCGACATGAGTCGGCGATAATGTTTTACCAAATTATATGAGTTTTTTTAGCATGTTTGTACGAATACTGTCGCAATTTTTTCATCGAACTATAGGAACCCATGTTATACGGGGGTCGACTGTATAACAAATTCAATACATATGAACTAAATTGAATTAATAGTTTTCACAAAAACAAGATTAGCATACTTTATCTCATCACATATTTCTTCAGTTCTTTCATTTAAAATCAAATAATGGTCAATTAGATAAATGTGTTTATAATTTTTTATATTAGTGCTATTAGTCTTTTTAGGAAAGAAACATTTAATATTTTATTATACAATAAATTTTCATTATTCTGGATTGTTCATTGTTAGTTTTGTGATATCAAGTAGCTTAAAATGAGAAATTTTTTTATTTTCTGCAATAGCTTAATAAATTATTCACATTATCTACTTTATATGAAGTTATATATTCACTATAGTTTAGTATACGGCTTCAGTTTCACAATTTTTTCTTTTATTTACCTTGCTGTATGTTTGTTATCAGTGTTTCATTATGACTTTATTATTATTATTATTATTATTCTTTGTTTTATCTGGATTTGTTTTTTTATTTTCTACTTACCTTTGTCATTTATCAACTGCTGTAAGTGTCATTTCACTCATATTGTTGTCATTCTCTCGTTGTCTTTTAAGTTATAAATCTGGTAATTTTATCAGCCTAGAGACTGAAAAGTAATCTGTTGTTCTTTCTCTCATCAAATAACTATTTATATTACTTATATAAAATGATATTATGCATAATTAATTAACTTTTTAATTTTGAAATGTGATATCTTTGTGAAGTTTGAATCCATCATGCATATACATCTTATAGAAAAAATATTATCAGCATTACAAAGTAATGCATATTTATAATTATATAATAAAACACATTTTAAATTATAAATAAATTATTAGTGCAGAATGTCATGAATGATGATATTAATGCTTGAAACTGCTTATACTAATGCCATAAATTACTATGTAATAATAAGTTATTAACTAAATTTCAGCAATATATTTATATCATTTTCATTTAGTAATATGAGCTCAAAATTTGATTAAATCAGTCTGAAGTATAGAAATTTTGTTTTGTTGGATAAAAACTTACAACTGACTGTGTCCAGTTAAACCTATCATATTGATAAGTTTAACTGATTTAAAATAGTAAAATTGCCATTGACATTAACAAATTTAGTATCATTATTCACTTAAACACATGAAATGATGAATTTGAATGAAGAAAACAAGAGAACATTATCATTCTCTTAAACATAATAAATTTTTATTTTCTTAAATGTATTAAATATTTCTAATTGTTTTTGTATATTATATTAGAATTTTTAATGTATTAGTGAAAAATTGCTTATTATTTTTAATATAACTATTATATTTATATGTGTATATAATTAATTTTACAAAACTTTAACATTATATCTTATGTAATGTAAGTGAAAATTACTCAGTGTCTAGTGTTAATTTATAGAAACTGAATCATTTGTTTTTTGTGATTTATATAAGAATAGTTTATTTGTAAAAAAATCTTTGTTTTACAATTATCTTAATTATTTTTAATCCAATTATTTAAATTTTTAAATTTGTTTTCTAGTAAGAATCCAATTGCTAATATTGAAGGTCATGCACCATATCGTGTTTCACGATTAGGATTTCATCCATCTGGTAGATTTTTAGCAACTTGTGTGTAAGTGAAATTATTTTAAATTGGTGTATTTATTTTAAATATATTGTGATTTTGTAAATTGTTTGTCTGAAGTATATTTCTTCCTAAATTTACTTGCCTGTCATATGCAATAGATTTTTTTTTTTAATAGCTGCTCAATATATTGAGTACTGTTTATTGATATATTAACAATATTTTTAATAATATATTAAAATTCTAACAAAACTTGATGTTAAGCCGTATCTATCTAACTCTTAGTAGCATTTTGAATCAAGTCATTCTATCTTATCAAAAAGTGACAAACTGAAAAAAAGCATCATTTTGTTATTTAACTGAACTATGACATTATAGTGTAATTTGAGTTAGAAAAAATTTCATTATCATGGTTGGAAGGTGAATATTTTAATAATTTTAACCACTTTACTTTCAGTTACCTACAGGACTTTTTCAGTCATTATTTATTGACTGAGATCTTAAATTATCTATATTTCTGGAAGCAGATACAATAATATTAGAAAAAGGCCTGATTATCCAAGAGAATTGAGTTATTGTGACCATTTAAACTCAGATTATTATTAATCATATGTAATTACCTACATATATATCATCAATGAATTAATTCATTAAATTATTCTTTTCATTTAAATAAATGTCAGATTACAAATTTATTTAATTTATAAAAACCACCTAATAGTGATTGTGCATTTTTGTCTGATTTTAATTTAGTTTTACAATAAGGTTTTAACTCCCTTTTAAAAATGAGAGGCTAAAGATGTAACAGAGTTATGAAACTTGGCACAATCATTGAAATAAATAAGTTCTACTAATTTCAAGAAGCCAATTGTTTATTATGTGCTTTTTATTAAATTACTTTGTTTGTCTCTTCAGATAAATTATTCAATTTTACTCACTTCTCAGTTTCTGATCTAATTGAAATTTTGCATGCATATGTATTCTCAATGACAGTACAGTTTTTTAGAGTTTGCAAACTATTTTAGCAATTGGCAAAAAATTTGGCATTTGTAAAAATCTGATAACAGATGGTGCTATATGTAGGGCAAATCCTTGCTCCCTTTTTAGTTGTACTGCATAAAATCTTGCAACTCAGTTCCTCACCCACTTCCCAATTAAATGCTAAAACAAAAATTTGATAAATCAACGTTACATATGTAAAACTAAAAGGTAAAAATTAAAAATATATTTTAAAATGTTTTAAAGAAATGCTTTTTATTCACATAAATGCACTAAAAAGTAAAAAATAAATTTTATTCAGCTTTCACAGTATTCTTTGTATTATGTGACCCAAAATTAAAAGTGTTGGGTGTTCATGTTTAGAAATATTCTTAGTTACACATTCCATCAATTTTTATGGCTTCCCATGAGTGGCCTAAGCTTTTATTTTTTTGTTTGCTTAATACCAAGAATACTTCAAAAGCTGAAGAAAATTTATTTTTTACTTTTTAGTGCATTTATGTAAATAAAAACCATTTCTATATAACTTTTTTTTATATTTTTATATCACTAAGATATTAACAAAAAACGTTTTTAGTTAATATCTTAAAGTTAACAGTTTAGAATATGTAACATAGAATATATTATTTTCTAATAGTCTAATTTTAGAACAAATTCAAAATTAATATTCTGAACAATTAGTTTTTGAATTTTAAACAAATGCAATATGACATGTAAAATGAAAAAATAAAATAAATAATATAAATTAAATTAAATATAAGTAAATAAGTTTAATTATTCAAAACTAGCAAATATACCCAGCAATGCTTGGGTTAGCTTAAGAAAATATCAAATAAGTTTGAAAACTACACATGATTTTGTTAAACATTGGTACACGTGGTAATCAGTGAAACATTGAATAATTGCTTCCATTGCAGTATTAGGAATTTTGTCTGTTTTTTCAATCCTCTGTTAATAAAATAATAATTATTTTATTTATGTATCTTTGTATAGACTCATTCCATCATATTTTACAAAAGTATTCACAAAGATTAAAATATTTCTCTCAAATATTGTTTTCTTGCTAAATGCTCTACTAAGAAAATAATTCTTAGTAGAGCATTTAGCAAGAAAACAATATTAAAATTGTTTTCTTGATATATTTTGAGAGACAATAATTGCATTTTAAAGAAAACATTGAATGTAGCTGGGAAATAATATTTTTTTAAGTAAATAGTTTAAACATATATACATCATTAGGTTTTATGTTAGAAATGATACACTAAAACAATTCAGTTGCTAAAAATAAATGTTTATAGTCAGTTGAAAGAAATTTGTGGGTTCTCATGAATTTTTCAATAAAATATGATAGAATGGATTCTTGAAAAGTATATAAATAAAAAGAAAGGTAGCTAAATTTACTTAAAACTTGGAGAGAAAAACAAAATTCATTGATATTGTTAATTTGAACACAAACATTTCTACAAAGTCTTCACATTTATAGAATGATAAAACAAACAAACTTAAATAATTTTTCCTTTATTAGACACTTTATATGATATATCTCAAAATAAAATCAAAATATTAAAATTTTTGTTACTAGGTTTGACAATTCTTGGAGGCTCTGGGATCTTGAAGCAAGGGAAGAAGTTCTTCATCAAGAAGGCCACAGTAAACCAGTATATGATCTTTCTTTTCAATGTGATGGATCTTTAATAGCTACTGGGTAAAGTATATATATACTTTTTAAAAATTTTCTTCTATAAGATTTTGTTAACTTAAATTTATTCATATTTTACCATTTTGAAAATTATTTTAATATAATATATTTTAATAATAAATTTGACATTAATTTTGACAAGATTGATATCAAAAGTAAACATACGACAGAAAGAATTTTTAATATTTCATATATATTATATAAAAATAATTAAGACTGCATCAAATGAAATATAGGTAATCCCACTTTATGCCACTTCATTTTTACAAAAGATCTATATTAATACCTGTTTTTGCCAACCAAAAGGAATCTGTAAAGTATACAAAAACAAAAAAGGTGAAAAATAAAAATAGCTTTTAGAATTTTTTTGCAGAAAATCATTTTAAAAGTATTATGCAGTCCAAGCAGTGAGAGATATCTCTGTGCTTTTTCTTTGGGAACTATACTGCAGCATCTCAGCATTAAGCTGCCATGGTTTTGTGCTGTATCTACAAGTATATTTGCTTTATCTTTGTTTATTTTGTGCATTCATTAGCATGTAAAATGTTTTTTAGGTGCAAAAATCCTTATGATGCTTTTGATATGATTTGATAGGTTACTTCTATTCATTGCACAACTTCATTTATCTTAAACAAAAACAAAAATAAATATGGTCTATTCCAGTTATTAGCCCTATCAGTTAGTAGTACGTGCCACATAATAGGACAAAACATTCAAGAATGGAATCAAATCCTATAACACAAGCCCCACCATTTTGTAGCCCTGAAAACCTCCTGTCCTGATGCTGTGCTATTAAGCAGAATCAACTTTAAATAAATATCTGAAGACAAAGTCCTCCCAAAAAAGGAACCACCATTTATTATCTTTGTATTCTAGACTATACAGAATCAACTTTATTACCTTGCTATTAATTCAAGGAATCCTTTTTTTATTTTAAACTATTGATTAAATGTTTTTTTGAGAAACTTATTTCTTTACATTGACAAAAGATGTTTTAGAATGAAAATGGCAATAAAGTAAATGTTTTAAAATAATGGCAATCCAGAAGATAGATATATAAATTTGTAATTATTTATTGGGAAGAAATGAAAATACATTTAGAAACATTCAGAAGATGCTATACTTATTGAGAAAATTAAAATTCTAAAGGATATGTAAACTTTTTTATTTTGAAAAAGTAGTTTATTGAATTTTGTGTAAAAACACAAAAGTACACTTAGACTATATATGTTTTAATTTTACATGCTTAATAATTTTTTATATTTACAGATTATAATAATGTATTTTTACAGATAGTTCTCACTATCTTTAAAAATGTATCACTAGTAAACTCAATAAAAGAATAATTTACGGTTTATTTTAAAATATTAATATAAACAAGATTTCAAAATTTATTTGTATTTGCCTTTGGATGGAAATTACTTCTATATTTTTAAGTACATTTTTGTTCTGATTTTATATTACACAAGTTTTATTTATTTTAAAAGTTATTCTGTTGTCTAGAAATTTAAGATTTGTAATGACTGTTACAATATTATAAATATTTTAATAATTAAAGTTTCTTTTTTATTCTGTAGAGGAATGGATGCATTTGGTCGTGTATGGGATCTAAGAACAGGAAGATGCATTATGTTTTTGGAAGGACATCTGAAATCAATTCTTTCTATTTGCTTTTCTCCAAATGGGTAAATATATGTATAATTTATTATGCATTTTCTTAGCTTTTCTATTTAAGTTATGTATTTCATTTGTTTTTATAATTTTTGTTTTGACCATATGTATCTTAATTACGGAAACAAAAAACAGATTAGAATTGGGTTATTTAAAAAAATATATAAATTTTTTTCAGTTCTAAATTTAATGATTTGCTGTCTATAGATTTACTAATGCTTATTGTTTCAGTTCTCTTTCTTTTTGAGTAAATAACTACAAATTTTAGCAGATCAAAAAGAATTTGATGTTTCTATAAATGCTGCCCTGACTTTTTGCAATACTCTCCTCCTTCAATGTGCATATCATAGTATTGTTTTATGTAAATATTATTTAATAGATATAGATGTATAGATATTCCTTAAATAACTGTATGTAATAATAAAGTTTAATAAAGATTAATCGATAGAAAGATGAAAGAAAATACTGACAAAAGTTAATTTACTCACATTAACTTTTTAAAAAATGGCAGGTAGCACTTAAATTAATTGATCATGCAGACATTGCAGCATTCTGTAGATACTAAAGGTCAAACTTTGACACATTGTTGCATATAAAGTATTTAACTTTTTCAAGATTTCAGAATTCTTTACTAATATACCTATTGATGTTTCCTTTCAAATATTCCATTTCATTTTTCTTTAAGACTAATCAAACCTTTCATGTCAGTCAGTCAGTGAGGCCAATGCAGCTTTATAATATACAGTAATACCCCAAACTTATGCGATAGGTGGGACTGAGCGATAACTGCCTAAGTCAGGGTATAATTTCGCAATTTGTGTAAAATCCAAGTCGGATGTATGTAATCTAATAAATGTTTTCATTAATCTTATCTCGTGTTTTGATTCGTTCACGGTTACAAGAAATCATCACATAGAGTCTCTCAAGTCTCTGTAGATATAACAAACACAGAAATAAATAACACAAAATAAATTGTAGCTATGTGTCAATTCCGCGCAACATGTCTGAACATTTCTGAAGCTGAACAATAGTGTAGGGAGAGTGAGTAATCAAGAGTTGCATGGCGCTCAAACAAAAGACGAATCGACGAAAGACGAATTATATATATATTATGCATATATGTAATATTTTTATTTAAAATTTATTTTTAAATTATTAATTATTTTAAATATTTATTTTAGATATCAAATAGCTACAGGAAGTGAAGATAATACAATAAAAATTTGGGATATGCGCCACCAAAAATATCAATACACAATACCATCTCATGTAAATCTCGTTTCTCGAGTGCTATTTGAAAGTAAATATGACTTTATAGTTCTTTCTTGTTATATAATTAATATTATTATATAAATGTGTTTAAATAAATAAACACATAAATAAATTCAATAAATTACTGATAATTTTATTGTTTTTCCTGCAGAAAATTCAGGACAATTTCTTATTAGTACTTCATATGACAATTCATTAAAGGTAAAAGATATTTTAAATTATTTATAAATGAATTTAATCAATAACTTTGAATTTTGTAAATTATTATATTAATTCATTGGAATTTAAATACAACTATATTTGTTATCCAAGTCTAATGTATTCCTGAAAACAGTTTTAAAACAAGATAAAAAACATTTGGATATTAGAAGATTTTTCATTATTTTTTGTGGGGAAAAAATTATAACTTATCTCCAGTACATCCAAATAACTCAAGTTAATTTCCCTAAACAACATTAAATCATTGCAAAAATTATTTATCTATCAATTTGTGATTTTAACATGATATTAACACAACAGACTCTAATTATTATTAAATAACTAATGAGGTTTATTAAAGTATAATTTTTAATTAATCCCTTATTAGGAATTGTATTTTTGTTTAATATACAGTATACAACAATAATGTAATGATGCTGTATATTTTATATTAAAATATTATTGTATAAAAGTAGAATATTGAAAATAAACAAGCAAGATAGTTTACCTACTCTAATAAATTGTTAAGCGTAAACTCATAAGATTGCATTGATATTTTCTAATAAAAGGCACAGCCATATTAAAACACAAACACAATGCTATTGAAACTAACAAAAACAAATTCTGGAAATGGATTAACTCCTACTTCCCACTTTCAACAGTACAATTTTTGAAGTTTTATAAATTCACTTTGAATAAATTTATAATACTGGATTATTTGATTTAGATATTATAAAGGCCACTGAAGAATGTCATTTGTTGTAATGGGCATTTGGATACAGAGAGTTCAGATACTGGGACACAGCTCTATTTTAAATACAGGAGCTCTCCTATTAATGAACTTTCGGACTTACAAACAATGTGATCTTATGTTTAAATTTTAAATTTTGTGTAGATTCTGAAGTACACTTGCCACTCTCGGAGTGGCATTAAGTCCTTCATTGGTCAGTAATAAATAATTAATGTGACGTATTTCTTTTGCTTATTGCCATTTTTTGTTTTATGTCATTGTCAGTCGTGAGGTGGTTTTGAAGTTTGTGATGCTGGAGTAATGGTAGTTTTCACTGCTGTTTGCAAGTTTTATAAACTTTTTTGATTAGTGCTTCAAAAATGAATCCAAAGCATAACAGTAAATCTAGCAGTGAAGATAAATGCAAGAAGTATTGCTCTTTCACTATGGAAACTAAACTGGACATTGTAGGAACTAAGTGTGTTAGATGGAAAAAACTACATTTGAAATACCTGCAGTAAGCAATAGTGAGTGGGTAAACAAGCATAATGTATTATATTAATTAAGTACATTGAACGATCAAACAGTAACAATAAGTGGTTATTCTGTGTACAAATGCATCTTCTAGGTTAGGTTTCAATTTATGACAAAATCTTGGAATCCTAATCTGTTCATTAGGAGAGGAGCACCTGTATAAGAAATGTCTATATGATTTTATTAAATTTAGCAATAGAATTAATTATGCAGTAAAACTGATCAATTTTATTTTCTACTTTAAAGCTTTTATGTAATGTTCTGTGATGATGCAGTCTGGATTCATTGTTGTCACTAATAAATTTTAAATTTAGATTTTCACATATTTAACAATATATATACAATATAATATAATAAATAATTTTTAAATATTTTAAAGTGTATGTTGTTTTCATATCAAAGACACCTAAATTCTATACAAACATGTTAATGATAAATTATAAATATTTTAAATGATTAACTATTAGATATAATTATATCTATATGATATACCAAACTATAACTATTAAAATATTAATAGTATATTTGTCTTTTAGTTATATGTGCTTAGCAATAATATCATTTTATCTACATGTCTACTTAAGAATGTTGTTGATACTGATAAATGATATCATGGTATCACACTGTGATATCAATATCATCAACCATAAGAAGAATTGATCAATATAAGATATAGCAACAATGTTGTCAACAGATTCTGAATGATTAAGTATGAAATTGATAATAACTCTTAATCATCATTGATTCCATATTTAATCTGCATTGAATATATATTAATATATTAAAAATAATTGTTTAATATTAGCATTTGTTTGGAACTAAGGAATTATTTATTTTATAGCTACTTCTAACAGTTATAAACATAGATATTTGTTCTAAAGGTTAAAAAAACACATTATAATTTGGTTTAACTGTATTATAGTGTTTTTAATTAAATTATTAAAGTAATTTAGCATAAATGTAGGTAATGTTGCCATGTTTTACAAATAGGAATAATTGATATAAAATTTAATTAATTTAGAAATATCTGAAAAATAATTGTATCTTTAGCCCCTGCAAGTTTGTGTATACATTTATGTCATATTATCTGGACCTCTAATTTGATCTTTGCTTCTTTATATATATAATTTGGGATCATTTAACTATACTAACTATATTATTGCTGTAACTATCCATATTAAATTGCTAATAACTGGCCAAAAGGCATTTAAACAACTGTATTTGATAGTATTTGTGCCTTGCCTTCAAGCATTATGGGTTCTAGTCTTGTTCTAGATCAATATTTTCTTCTATCAGTCTATTTATATTATATAATTACAACCTTTAAGTCAAATTGTTGTTGTAATAATAAATTTAATTAAAAATGGTAAAGTTCTGTATAGTTAATTTTTATATTTAGAATATATAATTTAGACTAGTTTGTGTTGTAAAGATAAATTTCTTTTACATTGATGTCGTCTTCATTTTGACAGAATCATACATTTATTTTAACTTGGCAACAAATTTAATGTTTACTCTCTTCTTTATATAAATGATGACAAAAATTTACACAAACAGAATTCTTAATATGATTGCTGGTGAGTGTTAAATATTAAGTGAATAAGTTTGTAGAGAAGAACATTTAAATTAGTTATCTGTCAATGGGTGGGTTTAGGGGTATGCAAGTTGTAGTCATACTCTCTTCTGAGGGTTTTCCCTAGTAAAGTTGGGTACTTCAGGTTGTAAAAAAATTTTGTTTCCTTTGTGCATCTTCTCTAAAGATTTTTGGATATGTTATTGGCTGTCAGAGTCATATTTAGATCTTGTTTCCATGTATGTATCAAGGAACAAAATTCAAATATGTCAATAACAAAGCTTCCAGGAACAAGTCTATTTTAAGCTTATTATAAGACTTCTAAAAACGTTTGCAACAGACTTTGTGTTAGAGTATAATTTCCAAACCCTATGATTGCAGTTACTTGAAATGCAAATTAGGGATTATAAAATTAAAAATTTAAAAAACAACTAAATTATATATATTTATCAGAAATTACAAAATAAATATGTTGAAATTATTTAACATTTTTGGAAAAAATTAAATAATTTAATTGAATTTATTATGTTATATTTTAGATTTGGGCTCACCCTGGTTGGACATCAATTCAAACATTGAGTGGACATGATGGCAAAGTAATGGGTGCAGATATTGCTCCAAATGGACATTTTATAGCAACGTGTTCATTTGACCGCACATTTAAACTATGGGCACCAGAATAATATCTAAAAGATTATCTCATCTTAATAAAATTATATATATTAAATCTTAACAAAGTTATGTACATATTGCAATTTAAACTACAGAAAAGCCATTTTTATTAGATATTGTAATGGTATATTTTAAAAATAAATAATTTTTTAAAAATATATTTTTTGTCTTTGAATTTTATTTTATTCATATTTTTAATTACAAACTTTAAATATTATTTAAGAAATCTCCCATCATTCAAAATTGTGCTTTATTGGGAAATTTTAACAATACATTTTCATATGTCTTAGCTATTTACAAAAAGTAAATAATAAATACTGCTTTCTGATAAATTACTACAGTATTTCCCAGAATAAGAATAGATCTCAAATGTGTATCCTTCCACTACCACAGCCAAGCAACAAAGTTACACATGACAGTAAACAATAAAAAAAGAACAGAATAAAAACTTCAAATATTCAAACATCATAGATATCAAGTGGCAATTTTGTTTTTTCATCATCTCAGATTTCAAGCAAAAATGTTGGAAATTTCAAATAGATTAAATACATTTTAAAGTTTTTTAATGTAGGTTCTACGCATCTATATTTTATGTTATGTTGTACTTCATAAAGAATATGAAACCATTTTCCTTTGCTTATACAGACTAACAAACATTGGCTCTATTCTTAGTCTGATTATATTTTACAGAACTGATTGATAAATAAAGAAATAAAATAAATAAATACAGACATGAAAACTTTACAAAGTAGTATGTAACACATTGTAGTTTGTAATAATACAGTACTGTACATTTTATTTTATAATAATATTGTACAAAAACATAACAAGAACAATAATGAAAATTAACAAGATTGCTTTTTTTCACTTTGTCCTGTGGACACTAAGAGGCCCAGACTCACAATGAGATGACCAGAGAGTGAGTAACTCATAAGGCCTGATGTATCCAGGACAGATCACCCTAAAAAATTTCTGGGAGTGCTCACCCAGAATTGATTCCAGGAAGACTAATGCCTAACTACCTTGGTCACATGGCTGTCAATAAACAAATGAATTTATTGTAATGTATTGTAAGACACACTGAAATTTTGTAATAAAAATGCACAACCAAACTAGAATGTAGACAAATTGCTTCTAAAACAAATGATGGAAATAGAAATTGCCCCTACTTTGCATGACAATTTTCTAATTTTTTACAAATGTGCTTCTAATAAATTTGTAATACTGAGATTATTAAATTCATATTTTACAATGGTTACTAAAGAACATCATTTATTGTTGCTTGAATTTGGATACTGGATAAATTTTTATTTTTATTTGCATAATAATACTCTATACACTAACACTATTTACTCAATATTTCAAAACTGCAATTACACTATGTTAAAAAACACTTTGATAAAAAATAAGAATATAATTTTACTAATTATAAAAAAATTAATTCGTCTATGTTCATTGCATAAAATTTATTCTATTCAACAGTAAAAATTTCATATTTCTTTTGATGCAGCATAAATTCAGATTATTCTATAGAGTAGTCCAAAAGTCTTGTTTCACCTGAATGAAAAATAATATAATGTACTGTACCACAATAGAATAGATGATTCACTATATCAGTAGTTCTTAATCAGATGTCTGTGGGCTTGAAGGGTAAATATAAACTAATCTTAATTTGCGTTATTGTGTCCAGAAAAAAGCATATATATTATTATATTATAGGTTTTTTATTTTAATGAATGTATTTCTATATAACTGGTTTCTTTTGTAATTGGACTGTAATACCTATAAATTCCCACTGTTGCGGTTTGTCCAGCTGTCTTCCATTAATCTCCAGAACGGACTTATATAGAGGAAAGACAAGACCAGATATGGAAACCTTGGGGAGAGGAGGCCCCAATTAAATATATACGAACTTCCGATACAGATCGGAAGTCTCGTTATTTCAATTCAAAATTTTTTTCTTGAAAAGTGTTAGATAGATGACCGGCACGACTCTATTGTTAATTCAATTCAATTCAATTTATTTACGGAGGCATAAATGCATACCTTGGCTCCGCTATGAGCACTGCCAAGGAAATAAAATACAGAAAATGTAAACAAACAACAGTATGTACATTGTAGATTCCATGCAGAACTTTAAGTTAATGGATAAAATTTATAAAATTATAATTAAATAAAATTAAATTATACTATACTTTAGTAAAACAAAGTATTCGCGCGACATCAAATCCACAAAATTACGAGTAGAAGAAATGAATACAGAAAAAAAAAACATAAGTGAACAGCAGTGAGTACATTGTAGATTACATGCAGAACTGCATATAGAAGACAAAGTCCATGAATTACATACAGGATAAGATAATACATGTTGATATATGCAAGCAGCAAGAGTACATTGTAGATACCATGCAGAAATGACATCAGTTCCACAGGACTACATGCAGAAAAATGAATACAGAAAATGTTAGTAAACAGCAGTAAATACAATGTAGATTCCACACAGAACCTCGCAATTGTGGATAAAATGCACAAAACTTATAATTAAATAAAATTCGCGTGTAACAACGTATTCGCGTGTGAAATAGTAATTACAAAGCTCTATTGTTAAAGGAAAAGTATGATGTACAAAGGCAAGTCACTACTAATTTGAGGTGGAGAGAATATATTTTAAATTAAATAAATTAATAATGTGATTAAAAATTGCAGCCTGGCATTGTGATAATGTCACAATAAATAATTGCTCATTCATAATTTATTGTTATGTATGACAATAAACCTGAAAGCTTGAACAAACATGGAAATATTTTCAAATCAAATGCAACTTAAATGGCTTTATGACTATGACCTTACATAAAAT